TGACGGAATCTCACCCCATTCTACGGCATCAACCAAGTCTTGAACCTTGATCATCAGCCCAGCATCCTAACCATGTGAACCACCACACTCCCTGAGTCCTGCTTCTTTCCCAGGATCTTTTCCAAGCATTCCTTGGCCTTCTAAATCTTTTTATGACTGAGCTGACAAATGTCATTTGGGACAGTGTTTTTTGGAGGAGGTAATTGCCTAATTTGACCAGATATAGCTAATCCAGTCTTTCAGTTTTCTCTGGGAAGATGCATTTGGGTTACGGCCTTTTTGCTTGCCCCCATCTACAAATTTCCTACATTTTGCTTTCCTGAAATCCACATGCCTCTCCTACCTGGATGCTCTGGGAAATTTTTTTAAAGATTTTTTTCCCTTGCAGTCCTTGACTTTATTCATTCTATTTTCAAACTTAATCTTTCTTTTTCTGGATTCTACGACCACCCCAAAATTTGGTCCCATCCTTTTTATAGAATGGACATGGACCCCTTTTACATAATTTCTTTCCAAAGTCAAATTTAGTCAAAAGGGTCCAGTATGGAGTATGGGGGGGGGGGGGCATGAATGCCTTAGCTTAGGGGGGAAAAGGCTAGTTCTTATTAAATTGAGCAGGATGATTTTTTATGAAAGTATGTTAGAATCTTCCCATAGGAAGAACATGGATGAACAAGACAGATGGAATCCAGGTGCTATTATAAGAATATGTAAGCCGTGGTGGACTATTCCAGGAGATAGAAAAATATGAAGATGCATTTCCTTCAGTTGTCAGGCAAAAGATTTATATGATCTGAAGAGAAACCAGAGCCGTCAACTTGTGCCAATTTTTTGGAGATATCTCTAATAATTTTTGGAACATTATATTTACTCACATACTTATCGGCTTTTCACTCATGTAAACTAGGGAGTGACCCTAACATTCGGAGAACATGTATTTTCTTAACAGGGATGTTATTATTTACTATTAATGTCAGTACTTTTTTTTAATATATTGTAAAATGTGATGTTTATTGCTGGTCTATGACCATAATAAAGTTGTTGTTGTTGCTGTTGTTGTTGTTATTCAGAAATTCACATGAACCCAAGCTGGGAAGATATTTAAAATATGAGAAGAGGCAATTTTTGAATTGCACCATAATTAAATTCTCAAGGCCCATTTCCCTAAAGGAAAAACTAAGTCTGTCTTCTTGGAGAGTTTAATTCCTGGCATGTCTGAGTGATATGAATGCTAGAAATGATTTAGGTGTTAGTTTCAGCAGTGGGAACATGTTTGCATTACAAAAACAGTTGCAAATTATTTGCTTTGAAACGATAGCTTGATTAGGGAAAATGGTCTGAAGACTTTCCCCTTCATCTCCAGGTCCTCATTTGCACTAATGGTCCGACCAGCTCATAGGTGAAAAGAAATCATGTAATCTCCATCCGGAGAGATCCATGGGAGGCTGAGCTGTTCCTGGATTGTGATACACCCCAGAAGACAAACACAGGATCCAAAAAGATCTTGACAGATTTGAACAATGGGCGCTATCCAACAAAATGAGTTTCAATGTGGAGAAAAGCAAAGTCTTACATTTAGGTGGGAAAAACCAAAGCCACAAATACAGATTGGCTGAGACCTGGCTCAAAAACAGTAACTGTGAGAGGGACCTTGTAGTCATTGTGGACGATCACTTGACTATGAGCTAGCAGGGTACAGCAGCAACCAAAAAAGCTAACAAAATCCTGGGTTGTATAAACAGAGGCATACAATCAAGATCACGAGAAGTACTATCACCGCTTTATAAAGCCATAGTAAGAAAAAAAATGAGATTTTGTTTTTGTTTCTAGTCCTTGACTTTATTCATCCTATTTTAAAACCTAATCTTTTTTTCCTGAATTCTACCACCACATCAAATTTGGTTTCATCTTTTGCATATTTTGCACATTATCCCTTTCTATAGGGAAGAGAGAATGGACATAGACCCCCCTTTACATAATTCATTTCTAAAGTCAAAATTAATCAAAAGGGTCCACAAAAGGGGTGTGTGTCTTAGCCTAGAAAAAAAAGCTAGTTCTTATTAAACTGAGCAAGATGAGTTTTTATGAAAGTGTGATAGAATCTTCCCAAAGGAAGAACAAAGGATGGACAAGATAAATGGAATTCAGCTGTTATTATAAGGATATGTAAGCCCTGGTGGACTATTCTAGGAAATAGAAAAATATGAAGAGGCATTTTTTAGTTGTCAAAAATTCACATGAACCCAAGCTGGGAAGATATTTAAAATAAAAAAGAGGTGATTTTTTGAATTGCATCATAATTTAATTCTCAAGGCCTATTTCCCTAAAGGAAAAACTAACTTGGTCTCCTTAGAGAGTTATGCCTGAGTCATATGAATGCTAGAAATTATTTAGGTGTTAGTTTCAGGAGTTGGAACTTGTTTGCATTAAAAAAACAGTTGCAAAATTTTTGCTTTGAAACGATAGCTTGATTAGGGAAAATGATCTGAAGACTTTCCCCTTCAGCTCCAGGTCCTCATTTGCACTAATGGTCCAACCAGCTCAGAGGTGAAAAGAAATGATGTAATATCCATCCAGAGAGATTCATGGGAGGCTGAGCTGTTCCTGGATTGTGATACGGATGAGTGCTTGTTGCTTCAGGAATCACAGATGACCAGCTGGAATGTCTACCTTGAGTAGCAGCTGCTAGGGAAGGTAATGAAGTGGGCCATTACTCTCCTGTCCATGCTTCTGACTGGCCTGAGTGGGACGCTGAATGCTGGGCTGGATGGGTTGTTTCGCTGATCCATATGGCTCTTTTTATAAAATCTTATATACATTGAAAAAGAATGTTTTCTTCCTCTCTCTCTCTCTCTCTCTCTCTCTCTCTCTCTCTCTCTCTCTCTCTCTCTCTCTCTCTCTCTCTCTCTCTCTCTCTCTCTCTCTNTTTATTTATTTATTTATTTATTTATTTATTTATTTCTCTTTCTTCCTTTCTTCCTTCCTTCCTTCCTTCTTTCCTAATAGTTGCAAGAAAGTGTCTTTTATTGGCATAAACCGTTATAGTGGTCACTGAGCCCCTTGCCATAGCAGCGTAGAAAAGTCCCACGGCTGGGGACTTCTAGTGGAGGAATGGCAAGTTAAACATGTCTCTGAGAGAGCAGAGATGCTGACCATGGTTTCTCTAAACTTCTCCAGACAAAGTGAGGAAAGACGATCACTCCCATATGGTCCAGACAGCTGCTCCTTGTCAGCAGTTTTCCATGGATCTCAGTGCTGGGAGACAAAGCAGCCATCAAGCTCACAACTTTGGCAAATCAAGGACACCGGGTTCTAATCAGGTTCACAAACTCACCATTTCTCCACCAGAAGTCCCTGGACTTGGGAATTTTCTGTTTTGCTATGGCAAGGGCTCAGTGATCACTGTAGCCGTTCATGCCAACAAAAGACACTTTCTTGCATCTATTTCCAAATGTTTTAATTCCTTATTTAAATGGGGATTTCCCCCCACAATAAGACCTTGACAGTCTCATATCTCTACTGTTGAACTGGAGTACGAACCAAACGAGCAAAATTGGAAGCGTAATCTGCTAGAGGAGTCCTTGGTGCTCTCTGAGCTTGATTGTTTTCTAGTCACTAGCACTGATGATGTTACCTAGTTTGGGTAATGAAACGTCTGCAAGAAAACCACCAAGCTCAGAGAGCACCAAGGATCCCTCATTACAGCCCTTTCAGATATTCTCCTTTAGTGATATACTAGAAAATGCAAGTTTTCTCTGATTGTTTTTTGTAATACAGTACTTTTTGAGACAATTTTTTAATTAGTGTACAGTAAATAAAGTCCGTTAGGATTTTGTGCTTGGAAGGCAAGAATGGGAAAAAATTGTGTAGAAAAGATCTTTAGAAACATTTTGTTCTGATGTTACATTAATAAAGTTACTTTATGCTGTATGCGTTCATGTATGTGTATATATGTGTGTATGTGTGAATTTGTTTGTTTATCTTTAATGCAATTGGTGTTGTGTGAGCACAGAGATATTGAGGTTACATTGCACCCTATGTATGCATGTACTATATGTCTGCATGCGTACGTATATCTCTGTGTGTATATTTGTTTATCTCCAATCCTGTGATGTAATTATTCACAATTTGCAACTGTATAACATTGAAAGATAAGCTCTTCCTTAGTATAACCACGGATTATGCCCATTTGCCCCTATCGATGTCTCCATGTGATGCAAAACAGCTTCTACATTTTTTAAGCTATTGTCATGGCAAGAATAATACCCAAAGAAGTGGAACACGCACAACCTGTTTATAAAAATGGTTTGTAAAAAATACAATGTTAAACAAGAGATTACAGATTGAGAAATATGTTCTCAATTAAAGAACCAAGTAATGAATTGGTTCCAGTGAATTGATCTTTGAAGTTTGGATGTTAAAAAAAGTGGCAGGAGCCACTCAAGGGAACACCAAGGATTACAAATAATCATTGAATATAGGAAGAGAGAGTGGAAGAACGACAGGGGACATGAATGCTTACTTTCATTTATTCCAAACTTCTAGTTTACTATCATTTAATATTCCATGTTCTTCAAGTATAAACCGGTCTATATTATTGTTTATACAGTGCTGTGACCATAAAGTTGTGGCCCTGGATGCATGAAAAAGGGATGGAGGAAAAGAATACTTCATCATGGAAAGAATTTCTTCTACTTGGACTTCAATATCAAAAATCACCCACAATTTTTCTGGTTGCTATTGGCTTCATGTTCTTTATTGCAATTATTGGAAACTGTCTCCTTCTCATTGTAATCAGTGTTGACTCTACTCTTGACACTCCCATGTACTTTTTTCTCAGACAATTAGCTTTATTGGACCTCTGCCAGATTGTCTCCATTGTTCCTCAAGCATTTGTCAGTTTTGTAATCAAGAGATATACAATTTCACTCTACAGATGTATTGCTCAAATTACTGTAACTTTGATTTTAGGAGGAGCAGAATGCCTCATCCTGGCTACGATGTCTTATGATAGGTATGTGGCCATCTGCAAACCTTTGAAATATCCCATCCTCATGAGGAAAAGCATCCTTCATGTGATGTCAGTGGTGGCCTGGTTTTGGTCTAGTCTCCAGGCACTGTCCTGCTCTCTTTATGTCCTGCCCCTTCCCTACTGCAAATCCAATGTGATTAAGCATTATATATGTGTTTATCCAGCCCTTCTACAACTCTCTTGCTCAGATAATTCTATTTTTATAAGAATAAGTTATGGTGGAAGTTTCCTAGTCCTTCTCCTTCCCCTCTCAGTCATCTTCTCCTCCTACATTGCTATCCTCCTTCAGGTTCTGAGGGTACAATCTTCAGAAAGGAGCCACAAGGCCTTGACAACCTGTCTGTCCCATCTCTGCGTGGTGGGTTTCTTCTATGGAGCAGCCATTGTGAACTATATGACTTCAGCTTCTTCTTATTCTGCTGAAAGGTCTATGATTAATGCCGTATTTACTACCATCTTCCCTGCCACCATGAATCCTTTCATATACAGCCTGAGGAATCAAGACGTCTTATCCGCACTCAAGAAATTATTTGTAAAATGCAAACAGAGTAAATGATTTTATTGGCACTAACTATAGGTTGCTCTACAGAGATAAATTCAGATGGAAGTATTGATGAAGGTAGACATTCGTTTTTCCTGAGCATATTCTAATTCTATTGTTAAAGTTGTAATAAAGATGTAAAAATCTGACATTCTGAGTCAACCAAGCTCTCCTTGGCTCAAATTAGATTTTTAAAAAGATGATATTGCCATCACCATGGTAATGAACAATGATAATTTGTAAACCAATCCATATCCATCTACGTCTCCAAGCCATATATGCACTTTTCTCCAGAATTCTCGTTCTCCTATCTGCTGATCCTTCAACCCTGCTTTTCCTCTCATTTGCTTACTATTATTAATTGGTAGTAGCTAGTGGAATGAAGGAGAGAAATTGAAAAAATAGCTCTTTAATTTTTGCATGGTATATACAAAACTGCATATTTTGCATACTTGCCCAGAAAACAATCTTTACTATATCACACACTTTTGAGATGATTTGATAGCAACCTGTGGAAGTCCAGGTGTTATAGTAGAGATGGACCACATCTTTTTTCTGCTTATTTCTCTTTGGAGTAAATGAGCAGCAGTCTACTATGAATTAGGTTTGAGCAAGCAAAATTGCATATTTTGTATATTTGCCCAGAAAACAATTCCCTTGCATATTTGCCCAGAAATATTTACTATATCACACATTTTTGAGATGATTTGATAGCAATCTGTGGAAGTCCAGTTGGTTATAGTAGAGATGGACCATATTGTTTTTCTCCTGAAAATACGTATTACTCTTTGGAGTAAATGAGCAGCAGTCTAATATGAATTAGGTTTGAGCAAGCAATGGGTGTGCATAGATTGAGGGGCCAGAGCATGAATGGATGTTGACCTGCAATGGAACCCCACACACAACCTTCTCACTAGCTTGCTCACCTTTACCAATTCCAACTTCTTCCATACATGCAAATATGCGTCACTGATTTTCATGAACCTCTGCCTTTTCCCCTCATTAATTGAAAGCATCTTCAAAAATAAAACATTTTGCTCTATGTGCTGAATTCTATATTTCTTTCTTTGTTTATTTATATTTCATGTTTTAGACCACCTATCTCCCCCAAGGAGTGGAATTATCAAACTTATATTGCCCCCCAAAAAATCACAGAATTGGAAGAGGCACCAGAAGTTATCTTGCATGTGGTTCAATCCCCAGCATTCCTTGGCCTTCTAAATCCCCAGGATAGTGTTTTGTGGAGGGGATAATTGCCTAATTTGACCACATATAGCTAATCTGGTCTTTCAGTTCTCTCTGGAACATCCATTTGGGTTATGGTCTTCTAGCTTGCCCCCATCCCCAAATTCCATACATTTTGCTTCTCTAAAGCCCACATGCCTCTCCCACTCGAATGCTCTTGACAATTTTTTTGAGGTTTTTTTTTGTTTGTTTCTAGTCCTTGACTTTATTCATTCTATTTTCAAACTTAATCTCTTTTTTTTTTGGATTCTACCACCACATCAAATTTGGTTTCATCCTTTGCATATTTTAAACATTATCCCTTTCTATAGGGAAGAGAGCGGAGACATAGACCCCCTTTACATAATTCATTTCTAAAGTCAAAATTAATCAAAAGGGTCCACAAAAGAGGTGTGAGCTTAGAAAAAAAAATCTACTTCTTATTAAACTGAGCAAGATAAGTTTTTATGAAAGTGTGATAGAATCTTCCCAAAAGAAGAACAAAGGATGGACAAGATAAATGGAATTCAGCTGTTATTATAAGGATATGTAAGCCCTGGTGGACTATTCTAGGAAATAGAAAAATATGAAGAGGCATTTTTTTAGTTGTCAAAAATTCACATGAACCCAAGATGTGAAGATATTTAAAATATAAAAAGAGGAGATTTTTGAATTGCATCATAATTTAATTCTCAATGCCTATTTCCCTAAAGGAAAAATTAACTTGGTCTCCTTAGAGAGTTATGCCTGAGTCATATGAATGCTAGAAATTATTTAGGTGTTAGTTTCAGGAGTTGGAACTTGTTTGCATTAAAAAAAACAGTTGCAAATTTTTTGCTTTGAAACGATAGCTTGATTAGGGAAAATGATCTGAAGACTTTTCCCTTCATCTCCAGGTCCTCATTTGCACTAATGGTCCAACCAGCTCAGAGGTGAAAAGAAATGATGTAATCTCCATCCGGAGAGATTCATGGGAGGCTGAGCTGTTCCTGGATTGTGATACGGATGAGTGCTTGTTGCTTCAGGAATCACAGATGACCAGCTGGAATGTCTACCTTGAGTAGCAGCTGCTAGGGAAGGTAATGAAGTGGGCCATTACTCTCGTGTCCATGCTTCTGACTGGCCTGAGTGGGACACTGAATGCTGGGCTGGATGGGTTGTTTCGCTGATCCATATGGCTCTTTTTATAAAATCTTATATACATTGAAAAAGAATGTTCTCTTCCTCTCTCTCTCTCTCTCTCTCTCTCTCTCTCTCTCTCTCTCTCTCTCTCTCTCTCTCTCTCTCTCTCTCTCTCTCTTTGTCCTTCCTTCCTTCTCTCTCTCTCCTTCCCTCCCTCCTTGCTCTCCCCTACCTTTTTCCTTCCTTCCTTCCTTCCTTCTTTCCTTCCTTCCTTCCTTCCTTCCTTCCTTCTCTCCAGTCCTTCCTCCCCACTCTCCCCTTTCTTTCTTTCTTTCTTTCTTTCTTTCTTTCTTTCTTTCTTTCTTTCTTTCTTTCTTTCTTTCTTTCTTTCTTTCTTTTTTCCTTCCTTCTTTCCTAATAGGTGCAACAAAGTGTCTTTTATTGGCATAAACCGTTATAGTGGTCACTGGGCCTGTTGCCTTAGCAGCATAGAAAAGTCCCATGGCTGGGGACTTCTAGTGCAGGAATGGCAAGTTAAACATGTCTCTGAGAGAGCAGAGATGCTGACCATGGTTTCTCTAAACTTCTCCAGACAAAGTGAGGAAAGGTGATCATTCCCATATGGTCCAGACAGCTGCTCCTTGTCAGCAATTTTCCATGGATCTCAGTGCTGGGAGACAAAGCAGCCATCAAGCTCACTACTTTCGCAGATTGTTTTTTGTAAAACAGTACTTTTTGAGACAATTTTTAATTAGTGTACAGTAAATAAAGTCCGTTAGGATGTTGTGCTTGGAAGGCAAGAGTGGGAAAAATTTGTGTAGAAAACATCTTTAGAAACATTTTAGTCTGATGTTACATTAAAAAGTCACTTTGTGCTATATGCGTTCATGTATGTCTATATATGTGTGTGTGTGTGAATTTGTTTGTTTATCTCCAATGAAATTGGTGTTCTGTGAGCACAGGGATATTGAGGTTACATTGCACCCTATGTATGCATGTACTCTATGCCTGCATGTGTACATATATCTGTGTCTGTGTATTTCTTTGTTTATCTCCAATGCAGTTGATATTCTTTCAGCACACACTACAACATGTGTAGTGATATAAGAACAGGCAAAGTTTGCTAATTCCACAAACACAGAATATTCCTACAAAGAGCTTCTTCTTTTAAGGTGTTTCAAGAGATGATTATTTCACATCCTGTGATGTAATTATTCACAATTTGCAACTGTACAGCACTGAAGTATAAGCTCTTCCTTAGTATAGCCACGGATTATGCCCATTTGCCCCTATCGATGTCTCCATGTGATGCAAAACAGCTTCTACATTTTTAAGCTATTGTCATGGCAAGAATAATACCCAAAGAAGTGGAACACACACAACCTGTTTATAAAAATGGTTTGTAAAAAATGCAATGTTAAAAGAGAGATAGAATCAGGATTTCAGATTGAGAAATATGTTCTCGATTAATGAACCAAGTAGTGAATTGGTTCCAGTGAACAGATTTTTGAAGTCTGAATGTTAAAATAAGCGGCAGGAGGCACTCAAGGGAACACCAAGGACAAGAAGCAACGGGTGGAAACTAATCAAGGAGAGAAGCAATCTAGAACTAAGGAGAAACTTCCTGACAGTGAGAACAATTAACCAGTGGAACAACCTGCCTCCAGAAGCGGTGAATGCTCCAACACTGGAAGTTTTTAAGAAGAGACTGGACAGCCATTTGTCTGAAATGGTATAGGGTTTCCTGCCTGAGCAGGGGGTTGGACTAGATGACCTTCAAGGTTCCTTCCAACTTTACTATTATTATTATTATTATTATTATTATTATTATTATTATTATTATTATTATTATTATTATTATTATTATTATTATTATTATTATTATTATTATTATTATTATTATTATTATTATTATTATTGAATATAGGAAGAGAGAGTAGAAAGATGACAGGGGACATGAATGCTTACTTTCATTTATTCCAAACTTCTAGTTTACTATAATGTAATATTCCATGTTCTTCAAGTATAAACTTGTCTATATTATTGCTTATACAGTGCTGTGACCATAGAATTGTGGCCCTGGATACATGAAAAAGGGATGGAGGAAAAGAATACCTCATCATGGAAAGAATTTCTTCTACTTGGACTTCAATATCAAAAATCACCCACAATTTTTCTGGTTGCTATTGGCTTCATGTTCTTTATTGCAATTATTGGAAACTGTCTCCTTCTCATTGTAATCAGTGTTGACTCTACTCTTGACACTCCCATGTACTTTTTTCTCAGACAATTAGCTTTATTGGACCTCTGCCAGATTGTCCCCATTGTTGCTCAAGTATTTGTCAGTTTTGTAACCAAGAGGTATACAATTTCACTCTACGGATGTGTTGCTCAAATTACTGCAACTTTGCTTTTAGGAGGCGCAGAATGCCTCATCCTGGCTACGATGTCTTATGATAGGTATGTGGCCATCTGCAAACCTTTGAAATATCCCATCCTCATGAGGAAAAGCATCCTTCATGTGATGTCAGTGATGGCCTGGGGTTGGTCTACTGTCCAGGCACTCACTTGCTCTCTTTATGTCCTGCCCCTTCCCTACTGCAAATCCAATGTAATTAAACATTATATATGTGTTTATCCAGCCCTTATACAACTCTCTTGTTCAGATA